GAAGATACACACGGTATGTACAAAAAATATATTTTATTTATTTTTTTAAAAAATCCCATCATAAACATCAATACTCTTACAGATCAACGGACCACCGCAGAGGTTGGATCAACTGGTTTTAAAAATACAGGTCGAAGAATTCCTAGAAGAGCATCGATCTAACGACAAACACTCAGTATTTAGAAACGTTATAGCAGTATAAAAAACATGTAAAAAATAAACAAATTTATTTTCACAAACTCTTGTGTGTTTTTACATTTTGTATTACTAACTCAATTATATATGGTGATACTAACACACCAGTTCGTTTTAAGATATACTCGACTTTATCCACAATAACCCCCTTACGTACGGCCCTATTAAAATAGCGTATAAATTTTCTATCGAGTGCAAAATCCTCTAGTATGGGTAGATCCCCAAAATCCACACGTGCTAAACGAAAACCTTCTTTACACATTGTGAAGTAATTAAATTTATTTAAACATTGTTTAGTATAGCGGCTACAATAAAATATACCTACAGGAAGTTCACTATCCATAAAAATTATTTTTCGTAATAACGTTCTATTTTCAACATAAAATACATATTTAATATTCGTATAAATTTTATCTTTATAATAAAAAGTTATCAAATTCGTGCCATAATGTTTCTTTCGACAATCAAAAAAATATTCTAATGAACTATTAAATTCCTGTCCTTTCTCAACAGCTATTTCGGACATCATTCCCCGTCCGTCTCAACTATGTTTGTTGGTTCGATAACCGTTTCGTGTTTATCCAACTGGGTCGTTGATAGCTTTGATGGGTCGAGAATCACTATCTTGAGATCTTTCTCGGGTTTTGCTGCGTTTCGAAGCTCACAAAAAGCTACCGTTTCATTGGGGTTTTCTTCAGCCTTTAAATATTCATCCTCTGGAACTTCAAAGATATAGTCAGAGGTCTTATCAGGATCAGCGGGTCTATAAAATTAAAAAATATAAATTTATTTTCTGAACAAAACACCCTTTTTTAAAAAATATTTCTTTCTTACCCGCGAACACAAATACATCGTCCCGGTCTCAATAGACCCCAACTGGTATAACACGTATGCGGTATCACAATAAACAACTGCTTTTGCACAACAACATTCAAACAATCGTGTTTGTGTGCCATGTCACCGTTATAGACTACATTATATATATAATCTGTATTATTCATATAATAAGCTTTCCTAACAGTCGATACAAACACAGGTGTAACAAGGCAACATTTGTTGGTATGACCCTGTTTTACACTAGACATTTCAACGATATGCTGAAACATGAATGATGATATAAAAATTCAGTGTTCTTTTTTAAAATATATTTAACCCTCCTTATATAGTCATACCTTAAAGCATCAACAGATTTTTGACAATCATTAACAGAACGTTCTAACGCTTGTAAGCCCTCCAAGGTCTGGCACATTTTAGAATTTATATCTTCCATAAAACTACCCACCACTTTACAAAATTCATCAAGCGGTGCAAAGGCATCCTTAAACTGCTGTCTTTTCTCCATACACACATTGCATGTACAGCCCTTACCACAAACCGTTTGTAACATTATCAAATACAATAAAATTCAAGACTATCAACAAGTCAAATATTATCAATACTGTGACAATCACAACAGTCGCAATAAGTTCTATCATTTTATTACAAATACATTCTAGTATACACATTAGTATATACAACCATATTTGAACAAATCCATATTTTATCTAATAAACATACAACCTTATTTGGACATACCGATATTTTGTAAATCCCATATCGTTTCCCTCAAACAATACCCTTCTAAATAAAATAGAAAAACCCTATAAATAACACGGGTCTATGCTAATAATTTTTCAAGTAACGCTTACCTGTTCGAAATAGACAAGTGACCACGGGAAAGTTGACAACTAGACTACATCTTAATTTTTTGTTCACCTAGCTTATTTTAGCAGGGTGGTTATATAAAACCATAACTAAAAAAAAATGGCTGATTCAAACAAGATACAGGAGGAAATAGAACAAGATCAAAAGACGCTGAAGGAAATAACGAAAGACGACGATTCAAGTAAAAAGAAGTAAGTCTCTTTCGTTTCGAGTTAAAATTTAATACATTAGATAAATTTTAAACTACTACAATATTTATATAGAAAATGTAGAAAACCAGATCACTGGACGGGCAGTGTCGCCGATCAAAAGGAATTATTCTTACATATTCTCGCTGAATTAACCACCAAGCAATTACGTGCTGAAAACAACAACTGTATGGACTTCGAGACCTACAACAAGAAACACCGGCAATTGATCAGTTCTAATTGGCAAAAAGCAATCGGGTTCTTTCACCGTATCGTCCATGGGGAATGGGGGGTAGAACCAAAACCCGACAAGGCGGGTATTGACGACAAATCCATCATAAGCGATGACGAGATTGCCTCAACACTTTGGAAAATCACAATACTAGATATGCGTCCCTCTGGAGAAGAAAAACCATACGGTGGTGTCTATATTTTTATGGCCAACGCTGTATGTTTCTATGTCAAAATGGTCGAAGTTGAATGAACATTTTACAAAACATTTTAGAAAAAATTAAAAAATATGTAAAATGTTTTAAAATAAAAATTTTTTTATAACAATTGTTTTGCTTACACATGTATATTGTAACTGTAAAGAAGAAGAAAAAGAAGAAGAAATAAATTTTAGTACGATAAATTTGGGGATTAGAATGGAAGAGATTTTTCACTCCTATTCCAATCCCCATCTTTATTTACTATTTTTCTCAAGAAAAAAAGAAGAGTAGTGAAAAAATAATTAAAATTGCTAAACTAGACGATCTTTTGCTTCGCGTTTTTACAAACTAGAAGTAAATTATCGTCTATCTTACCTTTTTTAAAAATATCGTATAGCAATAATGATGAAAAATATAATATAAAACGGTATAGCAATCACCAATAGGAAAAGCCACAACAATGTTGAAAACCACTCCTCCTCATCACGCAAACACATTGTGTATGTTCAAAAAATAATAAATATATATGTCTGACACAGAACACCGCTAATGGCACCAACTTAGGTGGGAATCGAACCCACTTTGACTCAGGACTTTAAACCCTGACGCGTTACCATACCGCCACACAGCCTACCATTTAAGCGATGCCCTGTTGGCAGACATATATATGATAATATAATTTTGCTTTTATCTACCTTGTACTTTACGTGCACAATTATTACGGTTTTTTGTAAAAAAAGGAAAATAAAAATTTAAAATGGAAACACGTGAAAAGGAAAAAACACGCAAGCGGAAACAACATCTCTACAAAGGCGCGAGATTCAAACGGCGCACTTCAGTTCGGTCGACCATGGCTTTGGGTGAGGAGCTACGTCACGGATACGCGTGCGCGCCACCACCCGCCGCGAACTGTCAATCAAAAACACGACGCTAACTCGCTTAAATTAAGGACCGCCCCCTTCAAATTATCCCCCCCCCGTCCGTACAGTCAGCGGATTCATACTTCTGCGCCCGCAATACTTTCGTTTTCCATTCAAAGCTCCAATTAAATGAAACAGGTTCACACACCCCCTTTTTTTTTCGACTTCATTCTACTATTACTACTAATTTACTCTTCGAAACATAGAATTTACTCTTCAAAACTTAGAATTTACTATTCAAAATATCGAATTTACTCTTCAAATCTTGGAATTTACTCTTCAAAATATCGAATTTACTCTTCAAATCTTGGAACTTAGTCTTCAAACTTAGAATTTTCTCTTCAAAACTTAGAATTTACTCTTCAAAATATCGAATTTACTCTTCAAAACTTGGAATTTACTCTTCAAAATATCGAATTTACTCTTCAAATCTTGGAATTTACTCTTCAAACTTAGAATTTTCTCTTCAAAACTTAGAATTTACTCTTCAAAATATCGAATTTACTCTTCAAATCTTGGAATTTACTCTTCAAACTTAGAATTTTCTCTTCAAAACTTAGAATTTACTCTTCGAAACATATAATTTACTCTTCAAAACTTAGAATTTACTCTTAAAATATCGAATTAACTCTTCAAATCTTGGAATTTACTCTTCAAACTTAGAATTTTCTCTTCAAAACTTAGAATTTACTCTTCAAAATATCCAATTTACTCTTCAAATCTTGGAATTTACTCTTCAAACTTAGAATTTTCTCTTCAAATATTAGAATTTACTCTTCGAAACATAGGATTTACTCTTCAAAAATTAGAATTTACTCTTCAAAATATCGATTTACTCTTCAAATCTTGGAATTTACTCTTCAAACTTAGAATTTTCTCTTCAAAACTTAGAATTTACTCTTCAAAATATCGAATTTACTCTTCAAAACTTGGAATTTACTCTTCAAACTTAGAATTTTCTCTTCAAATATTAGACAATTTCTTTCTTTTGTATATGAACTACATACATATACATCTTTCTTTTGTATATGAACTACATTCATTTCTACATGTACTTACACACAGCTAGTCGTTCTACACAAGGATCTTTCGTATTGCCACTTTCTCCAATAAAATAATAGGTCATATAAATACACTGCCCTCGATCGTGGCTGAGATATACGCATATCAGTCGTGAGACGCCTTTGTTTGGCATTTCCAAACTCTTTCTCGGCACAAACTTTCATTACGTCTGTTGCGTTTAAGACGTCGTTCCTCGGTGTAATTTGGTTTTGAGACGTCGCTATTTTGTAGGTAGACAATTGACAATTCTGTTCAGCTTATGGAGGCACTGGGATTATAGCTTCCAGAAGGTTGCGCATTCCACTGGTAGCAAGTGCGCCACTCGCTGTGTGGGAATGCTGGTTAAAATGCGCCATTTCAACCGGCTTTGCGCAAGGTATACCACCAAAAGCTTTACAGAATTGAAGGTTGTTGTATTAAACTGTCGCTGCGAGGTTCTATGTAGGTATAATTTGAATGCTATATTCCCGCGCCCGCTATTTTAAACTTTTCCCGGTCGGGTAACTGATCCCCTGTAGACTGTGTAATAAAATCTCGATCTGACGGTGTAAACATAAGCCGTTTACGATTATAGAAGAACTATGGTTGGAATCAATTTGCGAATTACTCAATTATATGTTAACAAGCCCAATTTTTACTTTGCTCGTTGCTTTTTGAACGAAGGCGGATTTGATTTGTACGTGGGTGACCTCCCTAGTGAACAGAAGAAATCTGATACTACGAAAGATTCCTACTGTGAACAATAGTTCGAAGTCCAATTCCCGTTGCAGTTACAATAAACGTCTGGCCTTTATAGCTGTCACAGTCACAGTTCGATACTTGCTAGCTGTAATTTCGATATGACTGGACCAGTATGTTTTGTTGTTGCAAAATATCGTAGAGGAAAACAAGCTCCTTAGAGAACAAAATAATAGCCAATACAAGTACAGGGAGTGAGAATGCGCTGAAGAATTTCAACGAGAAGATGGATATCATTACTCGATCTTATTCTGAGAGACGAGTCAGACACTCAGACAAACGGGAAAAAATATACAGAGAGTGCCCAAGGGCAAGGCTTGCAATGTAAGTACATGTGAAACGTTTATTTATACAGTGTATATTTCCGTTTACAATTGTCAGACAATGCATCATTGCTTCGTACAGTATATGGATATAAAAAAAACTTTGTCCATTTGACCGTTATAAAAATACAGTTTATTTGAAATATTGGCTCCAAATTTGAAATCATTTTCAAAATCAATGACATATACATATATCACTGTATAGTCCAGTCAGTCCAGTATTTTTTAGCTAAATACAGCACAATGGATTCACCGAATTAGTCTTTAAATTATATTATATTATGCAACTGATTATTACCTGCTTCTTAAAATTGCCAGACTAAAATAGTATTAATTTCATACATTCGAGTGCCTCAATACGGTAATGCCTTCGTAGCCTGTTCATGCATATATAGAAGCCAGACTGTCCTGTAGACAGTACGAGATGCGGGATGAATTTCTCTTGTGTTTATATGAGAAAAATTCATCCCGCTTGCCGGGACAATTTTGTTATTCTGTTTGATATATTTTATTGTTTTGACAGTAAGTTAAAAATAGCTAGCGGCGGTATATTTGAACTTTCATCCTGGAAAACGTCCTATAGCCCGCTCGTGAGTGTTTATATGCAGAAATTTCCATCCTAGTAAGCGAGATCTCGCCTCTTTCGAGCAAGATCTCGGCAATCTGGCAGCCCGCTTGTCTATATAAATGCACAGCAATTTTTACTATAAAAATAACTACACAGTCTATCTTGCTTAGCCTTAGGCCTAAATCTACACTGTTAATTTTAGGGTGTTAAAATAACACCAAAAAGTGGTGTTAAAAAATTAGGTAAAAAATGACACTACTTTTTGGTGCTATTTTAACACCACTAAAAAAGTGTTAAAATAACACTAGATATGGTGTTAAAACAACACCCATTTTTAGTGTTAAATTAGCACCAGTTTTGGGGGTTAATTTAACACCTGTTTATAGTGTTCAACTAACACCACTTTTAAGTGCTAAAGTGACACCAGTTTTAAGAGTTGTTTTAACACCTATAGTGTGGCGTTAAAATAACACCTGATTTGGCAGTGCCAAAGCAACACTTCTTCCTATCTGGTGCTAAAATAACACCAGATTTAAGGTGTTGATTTAACACTTTCAACCAGGGACATTAAGACACACACAAAAGAGAAATATAGGTTCAAAATTGGTTATTATTATAAATTACTCGCTGACAAGAAATACCTTTAACATGCATGAATTTATTTATATGAACTAAGTATTTATCACGATTAATTTCGGAGTCCAAGCTCACTTAAAAGTTGTTGTACAGGAATTTTTTTCTCGGCATCAGCAGGGCGGTTTAAGGTTCTAGATTCTAGAAATGCATAAACACTCGAAACACCTGGAGTGTATTCCATATTTAGAACATGGAATGTGGCAATAAGTATGTGGAATATTTTTACCAGCAAAACGCAACTAACTTTGCCCCACGGCAGCAATGTACAATGGGTCCAAGGATGCAATGTCATGACCTGATTCAAGGATAGGTTGATTTCCTCACTTCTTCATCAATGGCCATTGTCCGTCATCCTAAAAGTATTCATTTTCACATTAGTCTATACAGTATATATATTTAGTAATTTTAAATGTTGTCAAGTTCTAATGCTTGAACAAGAGTTAAATGTTGTATTCTGATTGGCTTTACGCTACTCGTTATCTAAATGTCACTGAGATATCTAGCTAGAGCGCAAACCATCTCTTTGTTGAGACAAATAAGCATTGATCACATGCAATGATAGGATAAGAGATGTGCCATCTCACCTTAACACTATGTACATGTAGCAATTAATATTTTTCAAAAGGAGTACAGTATCTAACAGGGAAGCCATCGAGCAAGTGTCACCTAGCTGAACTATATAATTAGTCACTGGTACAGACTGGCCCGTACAGTCCAATTGCATTTTGCCATTGAAAAATCATATCGATACATTGCCATTTTAAGAAAGAAAAATTACCCCCATTATAGTGTTAACTGTGTCAAAT